ATGCGTCCCCCAAAATTCTTGTTGCGTAATGCAGGAGTACAGGGTACCTCATCATTATGGATCTCTGGCCCCCCGAAAACCTAGTCTGGCCCCCCCCAAAAAAAAATCCTGGGAACGCCCCTGCTCCAAATGAACGAAGCTCTGTGTTCCGGACGAGGAAATAGATCTAGAAATGATTCATCTTTCATCACAATAATTATGGTACACATCGTGATACACATGTTTCTGAGCCTCGGGTGAATGCGGACTGCCCAGGACTATTCTAGCAGCAACAGCGTGTCCGATGTGACGGATTTCTCCGCTTTGGAAGGACTGAGGAAGGAATGGATCAGCGGAGAGATGATTTGGCTATGAGAGAGACAGCTCATTCCCGACTTGATCGTCCTTCGTGTCATCATCCGATGAATCTTCCAGCCGAAGTCCTCCGCTGGTTGCGTCGATTGACCTGACTGCTGGGATTATAGCCCCTCCTGTGTACAGAGCCTCCTCATTCTTAACACCGCCACCGCTGGCATTAGCAGAATTGGAAATCGAGCGTCTGCCGACGAGCCCAATGATGAGACCCAATCACTGTTGACTAGAGAATAGGTAGTACACGCCTTGATCCAACGGTATGGAAGTCAGCTATCGTGCTGCGTCACGGCTCCATCCGCATGTCGCTGCAGTCTTTTTCTTGACCCCTACCATTAGCTGGATACTTGAGCATTGCCTCTTGAAAATGCCGCCAACTTTTCGTCGCTCGACAGCAGACGAGTCGCCGGCAATCAAGCAAGTGCTTGCTCCTACCACAGCGGATCAGGTCAAGGCATACTAAGCACGGGTTGGACGCTAGAGTAGTTCATATTAACGCTGAATTCGACGACCGTTCGGAGGACACGGCGTCGGTGACCCAATGCGAAAAGGAGCCATGAGCATTTTTCGCATGCGGATTTCACAACTCTTCGTAGAGGGCTCGTTTCTTCCACCGCATGATCATCTTGCAGTACCTGAAGGAAGTGCTCCGCAGTTTAAAGAAGGATACGGTGGAAAAAACCTCTCCGTCTCAAGATTCCCTAAATATCGAAAAAATGCTAAGGCGCTGTCTCATTGCCCGGAAGCGTGCTGATACGAAATAAGGGCGAAAATTCTACTCACAGTCCGAGGAATACGGGAATTGTGTAGATGACAGTCACAATCAGGTAGGCGAATCCCGGAAAAGTATCTCGGGTCACGTAGAAGATACTCGTAGCCAGGGCGCCGCTGGCCAGAGGAACGATTTTTTCAATCGACGCAAGCAGCGCCATGAAAACGGGCACATCATCGAGGTCTAGCAGCTCCGTGATGTAAACGCGCATAGCGATCAGGGATAGATAGAACGGGAAGCCGACGAAGAGCTCTGCGGGATTTTTTTCATCTGATCGTGATATTCGCTCGGCGTGGTCTCTCCGTCCGGGAGAAAGTTCCGACGGGAGAGGAAACTGAGACTGTTAATCTCTTCCTCCCGCGGCGTACGGTCAAAGACGTTTTAGGCTACCAAGCAGAACTCGTTCTCGCCGGTATTTTTTTCCTCACGATTCTGGTTTGAGGGTGATTCCACGGACCCACTATCAAATCGCGAGGATATCCTAATGGAATGACTGAGTACGAGGTTCCATGTCCGAGGGAATGAGCCATACGACTTACGGATGAAGTAGAAGATCGCCGCAAGGTCGGCAAGCGTCAAGAAGGCGAACTTCAGCACGAAAAACGCCGAGCCAAACGCGATGACAGTCGGATGACTGATTTTGAGTTTCTGCACGACGAAGATCCCGGGAACCACCAGCGCGAAGCTCACACCCAGCGAAACACCGTTGAGCGCTCCGAAGTCCGCTTGATTCAAACCCAGCACGCTCCTTGCGTAATTGAAGGCGAAGTCGTTATCTTAAAAGTTCGGTAGATGAATTGGGCGTGTTTTTGAAAAGAAGTTCCCCCAACCCGGGTTCCGTTAGGTTTTCACTGACTCACTCGATAATGAGATCCCGACGTATGCGCATATGAAGCAGATGAGGACGGATGTGATCTGCTCCCTTCTGAAGTCCGGTCGCGACTTCATGACTGAGGAAATTCCCTTCTTGAGGCCTTCTTTGAGACTCACCCAAATGGCTTCGTGCCAAGTGTCACTTCTGTTTGCGTGCGGGATATCTATAAGGACGCTGAGAATTGCTTCTGGTCTACATGATAAATTATTGATGGATTGATTTGAGTCGTGAATGCATAGGTCTAATTTCTCGACTACCTCGAGAGCCAAGAGGGTCGACGATCGGCTCCCAAACCACACTCACCGACATCAATGAAGAAGACGATTACCAAGACGGTTGGAATCGCGAGAAAAATTGCGCACACTATCTCGAGAGCCGCCATTCCGATAGCCGTCGCGAGTGCTCCACCGAGAAACACCGCCAGCAGAAGGGCCACGCCAACGAAGACGCTCACCATGGTGATACGATACATGTACAAGGATTGGGGTACCATGAGAGCGACATAGGTGTACGCGGCGGTGAGCATGAGGATTGTTCCCCCTGGGAAAATGATGATCCATCATTGAGTCTGGGAGCCATTCCATAAAAGATCATTCTCTGCCGACGTCATTGGGCTTGCCGCTCTGAATCCTTGGGGCGCATTGAAACCAAGATATCTTCGTGTCTCGCTGCCGAGACGGATGTTCGCACATCCTCTGATAGAGTGATCTCACCTGTTATGGAGCCCGGCAGCTCCGCAAGCACGTTCAGATAAACAGGAGAAGACATCTGCAGCACTGTGTAGATTTGTGCGAAACAAGTTAAGATACTGCCCAACAAGGTCGCTACCAGTGGGGCTCTGAAGCCGTAGCGAGTCAGATATCTCCCCGCTACCAGGGCAGCGACCGCACCTAGAAAGAATGGAATGAACTTCGATGCACGACTGAGAGCCGATGAAATTACGCGTGTGCATATATTTCACTCTGTGGATTCACTCACCAGGGATGTTCCCGAGAGCTTCTCGGAGCAATCCGTAGAACTGAGTATCGGCAAGAATGGCATTCTTTATTATGTCGTCCCCGTTCTCGAAATCTGCACAATACGTCGCATTGAGCCCGTATTGATTCATGCAGACTTTCTCTCCGATGAAGTTTATCAATGGGACGAGATGGAGTTGAGTGCCGAAGCAATAAAGGAAGAGAACAATTTCAAGAAAATATCTCTGGAGAAGCCCCTGAGACTGATATTCTTCGACTCGACGCTTCTCCTCCGAAGTTTCGTCAATGACTCGCACGGATCCATCATAGGAGGCTCGCATTGAATCTACCCATGATAGAGCCAGGGTGTGTGTGTCTCTGTCCTTTGAACGAGCGGGGTCGAGTCCGGACTGGCGAAGAAAATAACCACCGGTCGTTACGATTCCGCGGAGTCATCGCAGAAGGGAAGGGACCCAGGAGGGAGTCCCAAGGAATCAACCAACCTACCTGGGAGTTCTCGAGACTGCCCGGCGGCAATCTGTGACTTTCGTTGGATTCTACAACGAGCTGTTCCGATGAGTCCATCCTGGAGCACAGGACTCCTCACGTCGACACGGGCTGCTTTCTGAGATCAATCTACGGGGTCGGAACATTGACGGAGCTCGGCGGTGATTGACGAGGTGATCACATTCACTGCGGAGCTATTACGGTTGCATTCTACCGAAACGAGAGCTCCATCTTAATCCCGCTACGCTAGTAGATAACAGCACAGAGAGAGGTATTCCCACTGACAGTTCCCCCGGGAAATCGGCAGAAATCGGGATGCACAGATTCTATCGCCGATTCGTGAGCCTGAAGCTTTTCAAGGTATCAGGACCGAAAATGAGAACTTGGTCTCCCTTCTGTGGACAAAGAGTGTAGGCCGGAAAATGGAGATGAAATCTCTTTGTCCTGGAGATGGCTTCTTAATATCGCTGAGCCTTCCGCGATTCGTCGGCGATCATTTCTACTTTTGCTGCCTGCCTGCCTGCAGCAAGAGCGGTGAAATCCAGGCCTGGGAGACAAGAGGAATTCTCTCCCGGTCAGTGCCGCGAGCCCCATTGTTCATCTCATAGCAGGTCTCAAAGTAGCTCCTTTGGCTGAAACTCTATACCGCCAACTGATTACCAACTGCACCAAGACTGACTGGAAGCCTCAATAATGCCAGCGATTCCGCGAACTTCAACCGAGGAGCGAGGGCAGATCCTGCTCCCTCGGAACTTTCATTCCGGAGTCTTGACGGACCTTGGATAATTTTTCGCGCTCCCCCGCTGCCGGAGCGGGAAGCAGTGAGGGCGCTATTATACCTCTCTGAGCTACGACTTTCACCCTTAATATCTCGCTTTTCGATCGTGAACCCCAATTTCTCAGAGAGAATTATCCCGGGCCTCGTCTGAGCTGGGTCGATCCCCCTCTCCGTGGACAATTCTCTCACTAGACCTTGTGTTCGCTACGGCCGCCCCGATTTCGGTAAGGGTGCGGATGACGCGTTTCGATTCCATTTTTAAAGCGGTTGGGGCTCATAACGTCGGAACAAGCAAAATCACTTCTGCTCCATAAGTGTCTCACGATATTCGGATTCTTGAGGGTACCGACGGGTCCTGTGATCAGGAACTGTGTCCTCGGGCCGCTGCTTGGTCGGATCCTGCTTCCGATCGTCGCTGCGGAATGAGAAAAAATAGCCGTCGCTCCCCGATTCGATCTTACGTTTGAACTCCTCATGCGTCAGGGACCTGAGCGAGTCTTCTCTAGCTTGAGGCTCATATAATACACAGATATCAGTCTCATTGGACAAAGAAACCAAGTCGGAGGACTTTGTCAATTATTCCTCCATGGTGGAAATCACGGGGGCCAGCTCCCGGAAAAATCTTCGAGTCGCTTGTCACTTGTCGCCGAGGTATTGCATGACGCATTGGCCGCTTGTGTTAGTGAGTACCTACGCTCAACTCGGGCAATTGCTCGAGCATTGAATTAAGCAACAACTCTCGATTTAAGTTTGTGGGCGGAAGACGTTTCTCGAAATTGACTGGTTATACTTTTTCTGTAGAGAGAGGTCGATCTTCACGACTCCGCGTTGCTTTTGTTGTTCTCGTCCTTCCGCGCGAGTCCTCCACAATACCTGCAAGGGAGGAAATTCTCGATTTCTATTCAAGATTCGACAGCTTTCATAGAATCTCGACGTTACGCACAATCCCAATCCGACGAGGATCGCGTAGTTCACGGTTAAGATGAGGAAGAAACAGCCCGGGAAGCTGGAATTCGTATGATGATACACAATCGTGGCGAGGACGCCACTGATCACGGGAAAAATCTTCTCGAAAGCGGCCAGGATTGCCATGACCACGGGGACCTCCGAAAGATCTAGAAGATCGGTCATGTACGCACGCATCGACACGAGCGAAACATAGAAAGGAAGGCCGATGAACAGCTCTGCAATGTGCGGGGCCAGGTCATTCTCCGCTCTGACAGGAGCATAGCGAACTAAATTCCAAAAGATCGTGTCCCTTGAAGCCGACGCTCACGTATGTAGAAAAGTATGTGGAAGAACTCCGTGAAGGTGAGCATGGCGAATTTCATCATGAAGAAAGAGGCTCCTCCAGCGATGATCACGGGAGGACTCAATTTCAATCTGTTAGTGAGCGCAATCAGAGGGAACACGACGACGAAGATGACTCCAAGCCCAATCCCGTTCCACAAGCCGAATATAGCCTGATCGAATTGGAGTACGCTCTCCGCGTAGGCGAAAGCGAGCGGGCCACCTAGCAAGGGCGGAAGACTCATCATGAATCAAGAATGATGAATTAGGCTCCGTAGACGGGTCTTGACTCCTGATGTATCAACTCACTGGCACTTCCCAATCCGAAAAATGCACATGCGAAGCACATCAATAGGCACACTATCTGTTCCCGTCTTCTGGCCGGTCGCTCCTGCGAAATGACTTCGAATGCAGTTCCGAAGCCGTCCCGAATGTTGTGCCACAGAGCCTGATACCAGGAATCTGTTCTGTTTTCCTCAGGGATCTCTGGAGATCCAAAATTGAAATTATGTCCTAAGACCCGAGCGGGACTTTCGGGAGATTTTCGAGGAATGAGATGACTCTACTCACGGATATCCTTGATGTAAACGAGAACAAGGCCTGTCGGTAATACGAGGAACGTTGCGCAGATGATCGTGAGTAACTTCATTCCAATCGACTTGGCTAGCGCACCACCACCGAGTGCAGCCAGAAAGAGCCCGACTCCCACGAATACGCCCACCAACATGATCCGTTCCGACTGCAACGATCGGGGGACTCGCAAAGCAACATATGAGTATGTCACCGTCAACATCAACACCCCTCCGCCTGCAAAGAATATTCTCGCGTAAGATGCGTCGGAGCCTACGGCTCCGTCATGAATGGATGGTGCACTCCGGAAGCGCCCGACAAACCTGTGATCGCTCCGGGTATCTCCGCCAGCAAATTGAAATAAACCGGTGCCGGCATAATGATAACCGTGGTAAGTTGGCAGAGACAGGAAACGATGCTTCCGATCAGTGTGATCATCAGAGGTGCCTTGAATCCGTAAGTGGCGAGATAGTTCCCCGAAACTAGAGCGGCGAAGCTGCCTGCAGAAAAAGCATTCTCTGAGCGGAAGATCTACCTTCATAGCGAATTGATTGGGAATACTCGAGCTCTCCAGAATAGCCTGGAGTCGGAATCTGCTCCTTCGTGGAAGATAATTGAGAGAAGGAACGAAACATCCGAACAGATCCTCGAATCAGGCTTAGTTGGAGTTCGACTAACCAGGAACGTTCATGACGGCGTCGATGATGAAACCATAGAACTGAGTGTCGCTGAGGATTGGGTCCTTTATAGTGTTGTGTGCCTTCTGCAGCTCCGTGCAGAGAGATTCGTTGTATCGGTAAGTGTAGAGGCATAATTTTTCGCTAACGAGATTAGTCAACGGAAAGATGTAAAGACTCGTTCCGAGGGTGTAGAGGAATAGGACGAACTCTAGAAAATATCTGCTGCAGAAATTCTTCGATTGATAGGCTTCAACGAGCGCCTTTTCTTCCAAATCCTCATCTTCAGCGTCAGACGGTCTATCCTGAAATGCCCCGGACAAATTCTTGGCTATTCCAGCTGGGAATTCTCCCTGGTTCACACTTTTTGTTATTCGGAGAAGGCAGAGCTCATGGCCTGATGGTCAGAGGTGAGCACATCGCAGCCGCGGACGTGTGTGGGAAAGTCGCGCCACAGAAAATCCCGCTCGCCGATATCCTAAGATTTCGACTCATGACACACAGACTCGACCTGAACAAACGACCAGCTGACGATTCTCTCGGACACCCTACATCGAATCCTTGTGTAGTATCGGATTGTGTGATCTGAATTCGTGTTATAGAGATTCTGCCGTTGGATCGTTCTCATTCCGATCAAATGATAGACGAAATTAGAGTTCGGTTCGCACTGCCGTCTCATGGAGGTCGCAGAATGAATCTCGAAACACCTACTTGAGATGGGTGTGACGTATCTGCCGCGGAAAGTGAAGGATAGTCTATGGCGGTATCCGTTTTCAGGTCCATTCCGATCTTCCCCTGCTCACTCATTCTGGAAGATAGGTCCAGAAAAGCGATCAGAGTGCTGAGCGGAATCTGCTGAGAGCAGCCGGCGGACCTCTAATGGAAAGGTGAGCTCCACGAGCGAAGCGATTGCTCACTTTCCGATTCTCGATGTGTTTTCCAGCGAGAGGACTATACTAGAGAATGAAAATCTCTGAGCAAGAAGCAGGTCAAAACAGGCGTTCGGAGGCCTTCAGAGGAGACTCACGATGAAGCAGGACAGTCACTTCTCAGAGCTTGGCATTACTGACTAGTATTTTGGGAGTGTGCAGGATGAGTCACCGCTGTCCTCGATGCCATCAAAGGCTTCGTCGAATCCCTAAGTAATCCCTGGCGATTCCTCTTCTCCCCCTTTCCTCTCCCTCCTCTCTTAGACCACCTTCTACGAGGCACAGGCGGAGCTATACGTGCATTCGGTCTCTTTCGAGCTGCTTTACCGTCTTGTCCCACGCGTATCGTCCCGACTCAGTAGAGTCGCCGTGAGGTCAGCCCTCAATTCCAGCGCCTCCTTTGAGCCAGTATCGATATTGGTCTACAATTCATACCTAGAATTTAAATGGATTGCTCGCATTGTTCCAGGGGCCTCAAGCGAATCTCTGAGCGCGGAAACCCGGCATCTGCAGCATCCGTCGCTACTCATAGAGACAGTATTCTCGTGAGCTTCGGAATGAGCGATGTATGTATCATGATCGACAGCAATCCTCGTATTTGAGAATCGCTGGGCGACAATGATGAGGATCCGTCGATGCAGCTCCGGCTGAGGAGGCAGATCAGGTCCCTCACCCTGTCATCGAGGGACCGTCCGGTCATTCCTCCGGGCCGTACCTCCTCGAGCCGCGCTCCCCCTTGGATTTTCCAAACCTCGGATTATCCCGCTGCAAATCTTTCCGGAGTGCCGCTGCTCCTCCCGTTTGTGTTACTGCGTGCTGAACTCCCGGAATATAATAATTATAATAATTACTCCCGGAATATGCGGACGGAAAGCGCCACCGATACGTCTGGTAATCGGCGCAGCATCCGAGTTCGTCGTTCCGAGTGTCCATGCTTCCCTTTGGACACGATTAAAGCTCGGTCGAGACGGTGGATGAACTTCGGCGTTTCTTCCAATCCATCGGACCAAGATCCGAGTCTGCTTCACGCTCACGAGGCGTGTTGGACCACGGATGATCGTAGCCGTTTTTGTCGAACCTTCCAACCCGAAAATATCACTAGTGAGCATGTTCAGGTAGTCACCAATGAACGACAGCAGGAAAGGATCTCCGCTGTCGTGTGAAACATCGATACCGCCGGCGAAATCGATACCCTATCTGTGATCCCCGGTGGAGCGCGGGTTTATCACAAGGATCTCTTGTCGCGCCGTGGACGGTGCGTTTCTCGGCACAGCCGTCTCGCCACCTGTTTCTAAGGCGAGGAATCCGCAGAGATAATCCTGAAATGGATGATACCGACCCCTTGAACTCCTAGATCTCTCAAGACAGGGTGTTCTGGAAGTTGCTTATTCGAGCTATTATTTCAACGCAATGCTCGAATCGAATCTCTGTGCGTCTCCGCAGTCCAATGGGGCGCCGTCGGGAATCGGCAAAAGGAAACGCACGGCGAATCAGGGCGTGCTTCGAATTATCTCTGAGAAAGCAATGAGCTTTGAAGTGTCGAGTTCCCGCTTGTGCAGTCCTCAGGACAACTGAAGGAATCCTCACGGCTCTTTTTCCCTTCACTCCCCGACTTGCGAGTGTGTCCTGGTCCCTTCTCCGGGGTCGAATTAGCATGAAATATCCAAATTAAGGGGGGATCCATCGAGCGGATTTTATTGCGTCTCATGCAATTTCTGTCTGACAAGACCTCCTAGAAGATTTTGGGAGGGTACTTGTCTCGTTTCGACGGAACGTTCATATCACACTGTAAGAGTCTCCGATTGCAACGGGATGTAGTGAGTGATGATTCTCCGGACTGAATACAATCTACGAAAATACAGTAGCTGTCATGTTTTGTGCCTAGCGGATTGAAGGTGAGACGGATGGGTTGAGGTAACGACTCGATACAAGCCTGACTTCCTTGTCCACGGCGGAGATCCGCCTCCCTGAGACCGGTCCTTCCGTCTGCTCTCCTCTATTGAATAAAACAGAGCATCCCCACGGACAAACGTTCGACATAAATCGCGTCTGTTCCCGATCGCGCACGATTCAGATCGTTCTTTTTCCCAGTAGATCTTGTGACTCTCAAAAACATCACTCGATTACAAACTATCATGAGCACTCGAATGCTCCGAGCCTCCCTTCACCCCGAAGTCCGATGTCGTCTGAGTTGAAACTCCTTCACAGCGGGGAAAATTCATGGAACTTCCGGCATTGCTGCAGTCAATCCAATCCCGATGTAAAACCTCAGCATCAAACGGAAGGGAGGCATACACAGGCCGTGCATGGGTCGTGTGAATGTATCGACTTGTTGCGTTGAGCAAAGATTTGCGAAGTACGGGGCTCTGCATGCATGATTCCTGCAGGAACCCTTGGCGAGGATCACTGCACGATGCACGAGTTCCACGATCCACCTTCATCTGACTCGAGCATTTCCGTTTCGTCCTTGAACACGGGAGCTGCATGGGAGTGCGCGTGCGGGTGTGGATGTTTCTGCACCTGTGACGGAGAGTTCATCGATGCCGGATTAATTGTCTGTTCTCTAAAGGCAGGAAATCCCGGCTCGATCGGGTTATTCCTTCCCGGCCCGGTACGGGAGCTGCGCGAGCTCACTTTGTATTCCCGGACTCTCCTCGGTTTGTGCCTCCAAATTTCCTCGTGGAGGTGATCTGGTATCGCATCCCTCTCGCGTATCTTAGTCAGGTATAAATTCATCGTCGGAGTGCCGGAGTGCTCTTTGAAGTCGAGCGGCTCCTTGCCGAACTGAAACGAAGATCCGTTTCAGACAAAGATCGGCAGTTCCCGTCGGGCTAGAGTCGTACAGTAATCTGTTGCGTCATCGTGACATTATGCGGAAAGAACTCTTGGGAGTCGGCAAACCTTATCTAAACAGTGATCCGACGATCCAAACCGATTGAGCAGGGCGAGAATCTCTTTCATGTGTTTTCCGTCTTTCATAGCGTGCACGTAATGTAGGGCCGTACGATAGTACTGCAAGATGAATGAGAACAGCTGTCGGAGGGATCATTTAAGGAGAGCGAGTACTAGAGAGGATCTCGAATTGAGAGGGACAATCATCCCTCGGCCCTCATTCTCAGAGTCCTCCTTATTCACCTCGTCGACCAAAGTGTCGATGCTCTCCAGAGGATCCATGGCACTCAGGATTTCTAGGACCATCTCTTTATTCTGGAAGGGAAAGAGCTCCGGTAGTCGTTCCCCGCGTACTAAACAGTGGAAACGAGAATGTGATCGCTGCGATACGGGAGTGGAACTTACTCTGTTCAACACTGCTTTGTGCAGCAGCGGTAATGCATCCCCTCGAACTCGAGCATTCCATAGGAGATCGCAGTGAAAAAGCTCTGACTTATCCCCTTGATAAGCTGAAAGACCTGGGATCAGGGAGGTTAATTCAGAGCGGTGCGTCTAAAGCTCGATACAGTCCGGGAATTCCCTAAAATCGTTTCCTATTCCCATGGGTTTGTCACGCTAGCACAAATCACCTTGAAACGTATCGAGATCATTGTTGTAAACAGATTCGGACAAATAGTCGATCCATTCCCAGTACTCAGGGAGAGCGTTGAGGAAGTCCTGGAATATGGATGAAGTCCCGCTTAAGCGTGAATCCCCGGCTACGCGTCCATCCTAGCAAGAGCTCCCAAGGCACTGTCTTTCATTTCCCCTGATTTTCCGAGAGAAATATCGAACCTTCACGTCAGCGGGAAGTGACTCGATTTCCCTTGGCTTGTAAACTTCAGCCAATCGGACGTAGCCGTGTAGAGCAAGGACTCTCCTCGGATAACTTTCGTGCAGCCATTTCGCAACAATTCGATTTATCTGTTTGCAGTACTCTGATAATCCGCAGTTTTCGGCGATATCGTGAGCTGTGTGGTTTTGCTGGAACGGCAAGAGGACTTCCGTCTGCTTACTCGAAGGAGAATTATCCAGGTTCGATGAATAATTATCATATTTTCAGGAGCTCGGTAGGTCTAGAGCCGACTCACGCAATTACGCTGACAGAGAACTAGAGGACCGCAGCGTTCCACGAGAATCGCGAACGACGATGCGGGAACGCGGTTCCGAATGGCGACTTCGAGCACACCCTGACCCTGCGGAAGACCACTGTGAGGAAGAAAATCGACACCGGGAACGAAGTCCGCTGCCGACTGTCATGAATCAAGTCGACACCCTCGACCATGACCATTGCGGCAGAGAACTTACTTTGTAGAAGAGCTGCTGAAGAACTGATTCACACATATCTGTTTTTGGAATCAGAGCCTCGACCATTTCTGGCTGAAGAGAATTGTTCAACGCGGCGAACAGTACCGGAAATTCAATCTGTCCGAAAAGAAATTCAGTCATCGGTCGTTTGACAGAAGGGAACCATGCGTAAGTTATCTATTTGCAAGAAGTGTCAAAAAAAGCATCCCAGCAGGCGCTCTCGTACTCACTCCGTCTGCGTCTCGCATCGACGTGAATAGTTGGGCGCCCGAGTTTACGAGAAGCCGAGAAATGTGAACGTCCTGATTCGCCATAGCGTAGTAAAGGATAGGCGCCCCTTGACCCCCAAAATGTCGAAAGTCAAAGAGGAAGTTGGGCCGTTTCTTTGATTTCGTCAGGAGCGCTTGAACTTTGCGACGATCTCTCGCCAGGACGTGATGCACGAGTGCCTAAGGAGAATCCCCCATGAAATGCTCGCTTGGCGATTGGCACTGTGTTCATCGATTGTTTGCGTGAGCTCCTTGACGTTTTTCCGTCGAGCAATGCATCACCAACTCCAAGAGAACACGGATCAAACTTACCATGCTTGGTGCGATCCCCGAGATCAGTTGCGTGATTTTATCGTTCCCCGTGGACTGAGCGGACTCCAAGAGGGTCTTCCCATACTGCGGAACGAATTGTAACCGTTCAGTTTCATGAGCGAGGGAGCAACTTCTGTCCCGCAATCTGTGTGTTCCCGATGCACGAATCGGGAGGGAGACGCATTATAGTAAACAAGTTAAGATATCTGTGGGTGATTAATTACCCTTTCGCCATCCATTCGAACCCAGAAGTTTATCAGCCTGGAGGGAGAAATCTTTATTTGAACTTCCGCCCTGACGCAAGACCACCAGAACAATACACCAGATCGAGGGCATGAAACGCCGACTCGAAATCATCAGACTTGGGGCGCCCGTGATCGGTCGGTGCTCAGCTCGAATTGGAGACTAAAACTCTGACTTTCATCTCACCTTCGGACATCAGCGATGTTCCCTGCTTGGACCGCGATCCATATCCCTGGCTGGTATTTCCGTATCGCTGATTTGACTTCGGGAGAAAGTCTCTGGGACTGAACCTTCGGGACGAAATCAAGCTGTAGAGCTCCGCCACAGTACCAATTCTGGCGGTTCTCCTCTGAGGGTCGTCCGACCCGAGTATGGGAGTCGGACTCAATTGGCCCTCATTGGCTTGTCGCTCACCACATCGCTTGCATTGATTCGTCTGACGCTTGTGGGAATCTCTGCCATTCATGATATGATTCAGGTATAAATTGCATCAAACAAGGGACAACTCCTTCTCTGGGCTAATCACCCGTAATTGAGGACATCAGAGCATCGACTCCCAATATGCAGCTTTCGGTTCCGAAGCCCGTTCGTGGAAGTTCCGTAATGCTCGAATGGCTCGGCAACGAGCGTGGGCAAATAACGCTCAGTACCCGGGGCTCGGAGAAAGAAGAAAGAGGACCCTCATTCGGAGCACTCTGAGGACAGCTTCATCACCTTCGACTCCAGAGTGTCATCAGTTGATGGAACACGAAAGACAGCACTCAATTGCAACGGTTTCTACTATCTCGATTTTCTGCGAGCGAGCGTGCGATTTTCTGTGCCTATCTAAAATAATCATCAATAGGCCGAACATTTCGTCGCTCTTTCATTCTGCTCCGCTGCGGGAGAGGCGATGACGGTCCCATTCATGATGCCGAGGATATCGTTTCCCATGGAAACAGCGGAGAATGTTCGCACAAAGCATCGCATTGATGTAGGTACCTATCCTATTCGATCCCTTTGCAACAACCTTCTAGTGGATTCTCCGATCAGTTGCTCCATGCGAGAGAACAGAAAATTCCCCTTACAGCTTTGAGTTGAAGTAAGTCGGTTGAGGATTGTAGAAGTGCAGTCAGTGCGGAAATATTCTGGTTTTGGATGGCCAGTGCCAACGGAGGTCTTTCGCTTTCTCGGTTGGGGTCGATGCCGAAGTCGACGAGCATGTAGACGAGGCTCCGAATTTTCGCCGACGACGACTCACAGTCTCTGGACGAGCAGACCTCTTGGAGGAGGTCCTGATCCTGTGAAATGAGAGTTGCCCCATTTTCTCGGAGGTCATCTTTGTCTTCCAATGCAGCTCTACTTCGAATGGGGCGGCGGTAGTGCTACGGCTGATCAAGTCAATCTACTCCACGGAAAATATTGAGCTAGATCTTTTCTGCGTGATTCGGAGTCGATTCTCGCGACCCCTCGCTCTTTGACAAATCTAATTTGCATTCGGTATGAATATCGAGAGTCTCATCGAACGGCGAAGTCGCGGACGGATCACGCTCCAGCTCTCACTCAGTCACAAACCTGATAATCATCGATGTTGAATGTTCCATCTTGGATCTCATCGAGGATCGTCCGGACCTTTGCAACATCCAAGCTTCGAATACATTCGCGAAGAGTCTGCAAACACCGCAGAAACCCTTTTACCGTGAACGTTCCCAGTGTCAATCGAGCTCGAGATTCGAAGGGGTCAAAGATGAATACTTCTCGAGAGCGTCGAGCGTGGAAACTCATCGGATACAAGCTCTGGTCTCAAAGATACATTGAATCCCCAACGCGTCCTCCCCCCCCGATTTCCGCTGAGCCAGAACGCAGAAGTTATCTGGCTTTCCACGACCATGTCGTATCTTATCGCGGGACGCTCTGCAGTTCGAGTCTCCTCACCGAAAATTGGCCATCCGGAAAGAGAGAGTTAGAGATCACCGCGGACTTTCGGAGGCGAAAGTCATTCGCAAACCGCACCAGACGCTTGCGACGTATACCGGCGAAATTATATGCGGGTCTACGGGAGGATCTTGAGAAGGACCGCGTCTATCTTCTCCATTCGCTCGTTAGGAGGTTAGTACTCGAATCGTTCTTCCAGATTCTCATGGACGCATGCGGAGAAGCTATACCCTGAGAACGGACGAGGGAATCGGGGGATTCGTCAATCAGCTGTCCCGCTCTGATCGACCCACTGAATCATGCAACTGGGACTCAGAAGCGGAGGAGAAGCGGCAGTCTCACGGAATTCCTCACCTCAATGTAGCTCATCGCCGACGCCTCTGTCGAAAGTCCGAATCACGTGCAAGAATGAGTTCCCGGAAATCGGCAGAGCCTCACCACTAGCGAGAGCATCCCGTAAGTTAAGCGGAGAGCCCGAGTTATTTCGAGTCGGACTTTGCCAGCCCGTGTTGTCCTCCTGGCCACGGTTTCGCTTCCGCGCCGTCGGGGGCGCCACCGACACATTTTCTTTCCCATCTGCGCTCGTCGCCGAGACATTTTATGCAATGCAACGTACAGAGTCAGCGAGCATGACATACCATTAGGCCTGACATTATCATCGATGTCAATGCTGTGGCGAAAAATCACTTGCCGCGTAGCGGAATCGAACCACGGACTCCTCCGTCGACAGCCGGGCTCGCTTGGGATGCCTCGTCGATGAGCGCGAAGCATTTCCATGAGAGGCGGTTGGACCGAGAGCGAGTTAGAGTTCTCGCACGGGCAGTTATTTTGCGATAGCCGTAGCGAGTAGGCCCCGGAGAATGTTCCATTATCAATCCATAGAGTCGGCATCTTCAAGAGGAATCCGGCGATCTCTGTGTTCCGCGCACAGTCCGCTGCCGGGGAGCGAGTCGCCAATCAAGATGGCGGAGCGGGGCGACTTTTCTCGTTCCAGAATCGCTGCTCCTTGGCACGATTTTCGGTGCTTTCAATCATAATCCGACTGCTTGATTTTTCGAATGATAAAGCGAGGGAAATTGCGGTCAGATGCATCAGGCACAGCTCTGTGGACGTCCGCCTCGGTAGCGCAGTAGGTAGCGCGTCAGTCTCATAATCTGAAGGTCGTGAGTTCGATCCTCACCCGGGGCAAGGCGGCCTACTTTTTTTTCCATGTACAGTGCTCGAATTTCCATGGTGTTCCAGGTTCCGGGCTTGGGCATTGACGAGAGATGACTCTATCGACCACTCCGTCCGCTGTCGATGGATCAATCGACTTCCATCAGTTTCCAGTCGAGACCACGAACCTTTAACGGAGATCCTCTGGCAGTAGCGAGTCTCTACCCTTCCATCTCTGATCGCCGAAGAAAGCCGCGGCGTGGTGGATCACCGCTGATCGAGAAAAAATTGAGAGACAATACTTCATTGATCCGCGTCCGATACAGGACAGATCAGTTTTCCCGCAAGAAGGCTTCTGAAACCTCATCAACGCGCGTGGAATTCCCCCACGAAAACCGAGAATATGGGCTCCAACGGCGTGGAATCTCTGACAAGTGTCCTTCCCGAAGACCGTCTTATCTCTGTACGAAGAATGGAATGAGCAGGAATTGGACCTCGTCGAGCGGCTGTGGAAGGCCTGGAGAGGGCGCTCACCAGATCCAGACGGAGAAGCCTTGAATCCATCTAGAGCGACGGAGTTGCAAATCTCGAAAGGACTTGAAGTCGAATTCCCGACAGTAATTTCGAATGTTCATCACGGGGAACTAGCTCCTTCCTGAAGCATGCTTCGAGGCTGGTTCTGCTATTCGAGCTTAGGATAATGTCTGGAGATAATTTTTACAATCTACAAGCATGTGCAATGTCTCTCCCCTCCCTGACAAAAACTCTTGAAACGGGTGCGAGATGACGGACCCACACTCATAATTCCGCCAAGCTAATACGCAGCTTTCGGGTTGATAGACGATTTGCGAAGGTTTCCGGATCCGGACCTCGATCCATGGGAACCTAAAAAAGGAGGGATGGAAGCGGGATGGGACTCCGCGAAGAACGATTATATGCAATCGAACACTCGTACCTTTTTTTTCGGAATTTTATTAGGACTTAAGCGTATGTTATTTGTCTAGCCTAGGAACATGGTGGCGGGATCCTCGACGCCGTCCTTGATCTTCCTCAGGAAGGTGACCGCTTCCCTTCCATCGATTAGACGGTGGTCGTAGGTGAGGCAGATGTACATCATTGGCCTGATCTTGATTTCATTATTGATCACTACCGCCCGCTGTTGTATGCCATGCATTCCGAGAATGGCGCTCTGCGGTGGGTTGATGATCGGAGTACCGAACATAGAACCGAAAACCCCACCGTTTGAGATGGTGAACGTACCGCCGTCCATGTCCTCGATTGCCAACGAGCCGGATTTGGCTTTCTCACCCAACTGTGCAATATATTTTTCGATTCCAGCGAAGTCGAGCTGGTCGGCGTCGCGGATCACGGGCACAACGAGGCCCTTCGGCGTCGAGACGGCCACTGAAATGTCGATGTAGTCTCTGTATATGGTTTCGTTTCCATCGATGACTGCGTTGACGACCGGCTGGTCTTTGAGAGCGTGAGCGCTGGCTTTCACAAACGCTGACATGAATCCCAATTTGACACCGTGTTTCTTCAGGAAAGCGTCCTTGTTCTTGTTTCGGAGCTCTGTGAGTCGCGACATGTCGACCTCGTTGAAGGTAGTTAGCATGGCATAGGTATTTTGCGCGTCTTTGAGACGCTCGGCGATTCGCTGTCTCATGCGGTTCATTTTCACACGAGTTTCAGTCCGAGCTCCGGAGCCTGGAGGGGAGGAAATATCGAAGGCGGGAGCATTAAAATCTTTGCTGAGGTGCTTCGTGACCTCAGTTTGTCGCGGCGGCACTGGGGGCGGTGTAGCGGTGCTCGGTGGGGGCGTAGCGACTGGAATGATTGAAGGAATTTTCAACGCTCTAGTCTTTCGATAGAATGAGTCGGCGATGTATTCAATCAGATTATTTTTTACGGATGGATCGAAGAAATTCCCCACGGAGATATTTCCTCTGTCTCCCTGAATATGGTTCGATTGGTCGAATTATTGAACGGATAAAGAATCTAACGGTCGTCTTGACAATCTTACCAGGGGTGGCTTCTACTTTCGGAGGCTCGGGAGCCGTTGCTGCCGCGGCAGCTGGTCCGGCTCCACCGGTTGCTCCGACCTTAATTTTCAGGATATCTTGACCGGGTGTCACGGTTGCTCCGTCTTCGACAAGAAAACTCTCGATGACACCGGCGACCGGCGAGTGGATCGGAATTGCGGTTTTGTCGGTCTCCACTTCGGCCACCACGTCGTCAACCTCTACTTGGTCGCCAGGAGCTTTCACTAGCCGAATATCACCTTCCGACAAAGACTCCGACAACTGGGGGCACTTGATTGTTTGGATCTCATTGCAGAGAATCCCACTTGTATGGAATAGACGTTCGGAGGCGGCTTTGGCGAACCTCTGTGGCGCCGGATCAAAGCCTTTCCTCTCGAGGGCTCGGACGGCCAGTCTGGTAAAAGCACGTGATCCGATTCGACCGGCTTGATGGGCAGACCGCGAAGCCAAAATACGGCTCGCGGTCTTACCCGTGGAGCTGGATACGTTTGTAATGAGCTTCAACATCGTCCGATGTCCCCCGTTTTTCCTCAGAGGTGAACCGATGTCAACAACAGCAGCACTTTGAGCAGACGAGTGTCGGGCCCGTCTCGCTCTCTCCCCTTCGCTCTAGTCGGGTGGTGGCAGGCATCGGCTGCGTCTGTCGAAGCGGCAAGAGGGCCTGTGCGGGTTCGAGGGGGAGAGCTGTTGGCATACGGAGCCGAATTCTCAGGCTGTGCCCAAACCTTCGGTCACCCTTTCGCCTTAGGTGATTCGGAAAGCGAGCTGTGGTGAAGGCGCCGCTTTTCGAACAGAGGGGCATAAACTACAACAGGATACGAGGCGATTCTTATCCTCGAAAGCGGATTCTCATGTTCGGAATATCGATGGTCGGGAATTTCTTCGATTTTGTTCCTTGTGCATCACATTAATTCCATTCGAGACGGTGTTCGCAAACGAAGGGCTCAGCGGCACGGAATCGAATGGTTCCTCCCGACTTTGCCGCAAATATCGAGTGCTGGAAGATTTTACTTCCGTGTCAGAGGTGAATATCCGACAACACCTTCAGCCGCCATGCGAGTCAGAGTCTTGGCATGAGCCCCGCGGAGAATAGTGAGCCTACAGAAGGCACTCGGCAAGGAGAGGCCGTCGACGACGACGGTAGACTATTAAGACGTGACTCATTGTCTGGTGATTACACGAGAAGGAGAGCTGACCGGAGTCTGATCTCTAATCGTTCTTTTCTCCAAGTTTTGGAACATGGCCAGCCAGAGCTTCGGAAAAGCTTGAGCGGCTCGATCGATAACGTACGGAATCAACGCCCTCGTCGCAATATGACGTGCCTTCTGAGGTCGAGTTTCCGGTATCATACCTCAAGTGAGCCCAAGAATTCTCGAGCCTGTACGATTGCCGGCAACAGTCTAGAAATCTGAATGAGACACCGAGTACTCCAGCAAATCAGGTCGGCTCTAGGCGCTACCTGGGTACTTATCGCCTTCATGATTCGTTTCCCTCGGTCATCGAGCGTCTAGCGGGATGATACTAACGAGTATTCAGAGCACCGTATCTGGGCATTTCGCTGCTGCATCGGGAGCCAATCGAAAATCCGTCGCGCAATCCGCCGTGGAGGATGATTCGAAGTTTGTATTGCTTCCGATGAGACTTGTAGATTTGAGAACCGAATGTTCTCCCTCGGGCTCAGGGTTCCTTCGGAATAAAGCCTGTCTGAGAAATCAACCGAAGAGCCCTGATATAGAATGCGGCCATGGGGAAAGTCATCCATGGTCGAGAAAAACATTCCGGCGCATTCGTGATTCCGGGAAGTGTATACATCGGCATCGTTGACCCTCCTCTCAATGGCCCCCAAATATCGTACAGAGGGTACCCTCCTGTGCACCCTTCATTTCAGCGGAAACCGGCATCGAAGCTTCCTAGTCGTAACCCCCACGCGAACCCCTGTCGGGAACCGTCACCGGAATTGCCGACTTCTCTTTGTTGCCCTCTCTCCTCGAACCGTAGATCTGAGCAGAATGTGATTCCAACGAGAGGAAATACTATTCTCGTCCTGCGGAACGGACCCATAGGCTCGCTGCGCTCGACTACGACGCGTCGTCAATATCTTCCAGGAAGTCCGCCTGACCTGATCCATGCTAATGATGGAATCCTTCAGCGAGCTATAACGCTAAAGGTAGAGGCTAGCTTAGAGGGAGCATAGCATCGCACGGAGAGCGGGTATGATAATGCGAAGTTCGCACTGCTCGCAAATCCGAGGCAGGACAGGCTTCTTCCAAGCTCGAGCGATCGATGTCCTCCGGAAATGAGACGTTATTTCATTATTTATCATCCCAAGACGGAGATACGGGGAAATCTCTAAAATGCCGAGGGGAAGAAGGGCAGCGAATCATCGGACGAGAGAACGGCGCCTCTATCTATGCACCTCGTCCGAAGCGAGGTGCGAACTCTTCGGCTTGCTTGTTCACACGGAAAAGTTGCGATTCATTCGCTGCCAACACGGCCTCGCGGAACTTGAGTTCGAATATCCCGCCCTGATTTTCTTGAGGAATCCTCCGGCTATCTGTGCACCAAAGATTGCCGTCACTTGAGCTGCCATCGTCCGAAAGAGGATCTTCAGGGGAGCTTTCGGGTCATCGGAGTCCTCATGGTCCGATCCGCTCTGTATGCGCGAAGGCTCCTCCGGAAAAGGGTTACCGATTATATTTCTTTAGTGAGGTCTCCCTTGAGCGGATGGGGAGAATCATTGACTCTGTCCAATCTCTTCAGGTTATGATTATCGCGGGAATGTTCCGATCATGGTTCGCAGCGAGTCTGATTACCTGCTAAGAGATCAAGGATCCCTGGTTCCCATGATGGGCTCCCGGGGAAGATGATGAAGGTATTCTGAATCCCCTCCTCATTCAGGAAATGTCTTCCCTGCTCCGGAGCATCTCGCTCATCGCTTAGATTACTCGATCTCTGTTTTGTCAGGAGTTTCATCATTCCTCATCGACTCGAAAGGAAATCACCGTGTCGCACAGCTTTCAGGAGCCCGAAATCGACCCAGTGTAGCTCGAGACGGCTCCCAATGTGGAAAACTTCGGGAATTCGTGAGCATCTCCGTGACTCCCGGAGAAGTCGACCAGAGGTATTTTGCTCTTTCACCCCAGCCGCGTCCCTTCCAGGCAGGATGCTACCGAATCATTCGAATCGAAGCGATACGTTAGCGTTTTGTCCCCTTCGCCGTGTTCGAATAAGAAACGGAAATTGCTTGGTGACAAATAAAAAACAAAAACTCTCATTTCCGCTTGGAGACGGCACGCTTATTTGCCGCTCCGCTCATCTCCCCGGACGGATTTTGAAGCCGCTCACTGCTTTACTCTTTGTGCGTCACTATCGAAGTCCTCACAATGGAGGTCCCACGCGATGACGACTCGTTCGCCCTGACCAGCAACTGTTTGAATGGAGAAATAGAGAAGCTGCCCCTCCGAGGCGCGCCACGGGCTGAATCAGGTTGATGCCTCGCCTTATGACGCTGTCAGGCTGCGGATCGTATGGCCCGATGAGAGGTGTCGTGTTCAACATCGTAATGAAATAGTATCTATGACGTCACGGTGCTCTTCCTTGACGTCTCCGCCGCAATCGTAGAATCGCTCAGGGAGAAAATTGATCCAGTATCGCAGCTCGTGCAGGGATCACCGGTACGGGAGGCAGTCAAGAGGAGATGTGGGAAAAAAGGACCGAGACAAAAGTAGAGCAGGCAATTGGATTTTATTCCGAGACGACATCTGACAACGATTCCTCGATCCTGTGGCTTCGGATCCCCTTGCGCTCAACTTCACTGAGATTGGAGTTAGTGAGCTCCGTATCGTCGAGGAGAATCGGGACCGTGGCTGGATACCGGGATTCGTCCATGATGCGAGAACTTCGGAATCTCTGAACGGGGCTGGGATCAGTGAATCGAGTACTCTTCAAAAACGACACTCGGCCCGCCGCTATCACTCGAATTCAATCTTTCCCCGTGACGTTCCATTCTCCGAGATACGTGCGGTGTGAGGAAACTCTTGCAGGAGAACAGAAACAGAAGACAAGGAAGAGGGGGAACAGTGTAGGAAAAAAAGGGAAGAAGACATTCGAAGACATTCCCATTCCATCGGTCGCAATTCTCGGCGCGCAGTCGAACTATCAAATTCTTGAAATTCCTGCGAGGCCCTCTGCTCCGCCATACCATCACTGCCGCTGGCGAGCGTACGCTCGGGTCATCCGCAGCGCTCGCGATTCCGAATGCTCAGGAAATCGGGAGGGAGAGGCGCAATCGACCGCTTGGAAATCAAGATGACTGCGGAAACCGGAGTTCGGAGAATTCCGTTGATGTCTCCAGAAGAGCAGACTGAACCGTTCTGTCTTTCTCTTACACTTTGCTTAGATTATGCATGAGCCAGGCTCTAAGATTCGGTTCTTGAGAGCGACCTCCAGCGTCTGGAAAAAGGAAATGCGAAGCGGTCGGGAGCTCGCAGTGGGAGAGCGGGAGCGTCAATTGAAAATCTATAGAGCCGGAGTAGTGCGGTTAGTGGGGAGGCCTCGACGGCCGACAAGGTTGTTCCGCTCGGAAAGGATAACAGTCGAACTTTTAAAGTCTTCTCGGACTCGTCGGTTAAATGGTGCGTTTTATTCGATCCCGAAGTCGTGCGCTCGGAATTAATGTCTTTACATTGCGTCCCGGCTCAAGCTGATATATGTTGATTAGAGTCGATGTTGATCGCTTCGACACGGTCTCGCAGAGCATAACGAGCCAGCCAGCTGTCCCGTCAGTGTCAGCTCGCTCACGCGAAGGTCGCCGGAGGAAGATGTTCTGCTCAGATATCTCAGAGCTGACGTTGAATTTCTCGGAGCACACGCTTGGGGTCGGAAACGGCAGCTCGAGATGGACTCAGAAGAAGCTCCTCGTTTCCCGCCGAGCAATAGGTATTTTCTGGAGGACTCCGCGGGGCCAGAACGACGAATTCAACATCAGGGTTGGCTTCTGCCGGTTTCAAAGAGGTCCCAAGCTTCAGGTCCTGGCTCTCAAACCAGGCCGACGGCACGACGCCCCGCCGTCCAAACCTCGGGCGACTTCAAGAGTAAAATGAAACCTCGTCGCACAGCATGTAATGTCTTGTGAGCACCTCTCGACCGAAGGGTAGGATTACAACGAGTATAAATTTCCCTCAGGGAGCCATAAATTGCGAGTTATGTCCCTACGAGACTTATGTCTAAATGTTTCCTTGAGCAAGTCCGTGTTCACGCCCCCTCGATTCTCCTGAGCTCGTTCGCCTACTCGTGTAGAGCCAGACGCGTGGGGCAATAGTCAATTTATTGAGTGTTCTGCGAGGGCTGCTCACCGCCTTATTCCTCCAACTATCCCGCTCCGGGAAGTCCCTCCGCCGACGGTTCCATCCACTTTTGGGGGGAAAGAAGCGAAAGTAGCCGATAGAGTGTCTCACAAGCGATTCAGCTTCCGGTCCTGATAACAGCTTCGGCTTACGCAGAACCACATGGTCGAAAACGAGTCGAAAATTCCGTCACTGCTC